CAAATATACTATGTAAATTTATCTTTCACAAATATTTTTTATTCTAATTAGCAACTTAATTTTATGCTGATAAAAACTTACTGAGAACATTTCTCCATGAGGCCAACTTAAAGGTGAAATTGTCCTAATAGTCCAACAGTGAGATGAGTAACTGAGTAAATAAATTGAGAGATTGTTAATTTTCTGGAACTAAAAAGCAACAAATCAAGAGCATCAATCCATCCGTCCGCAGCTTTTTCAGTAAAAAAGATCAAGTCTTTCTGGACCACTGGACGCATTTTAGTGAGACTCTCAGCTGGCACTGACGGCTTACTGCCAAACGTGCAAAGGCAAGAAATATTAGATCTAATTCTCGTTTTTGGCTTCATGTAACATCGAATGAATTTTGACTTCAGTAAATGAAACTTGGAAAAGTTTTTCATGAGCTAAACGTGATTTTGAGCTGAAACTTTGCTTAGTTTACAGAATGCTAGCTTTAGTATGCTTAATTTTGGTTTATTTTAGACCTGAATAAAAAAGACTCAGCTGTAGATGTGCAGCCAGTGTCAGTAAGAAAGTGAAGCCTACAATGAACCTTTATGTATGACTATAGTGAATATTTCAACCCATATTTTCTTATAATATCTCAATTCTGTCAGCATAGTGATCTAAACTTTAAAAAAAAAACTAATTTTCAATCATGTTACTCTCTACCTGTAATAGTAGCACTTCCTGTGACCGTAAAAACAGATTCAGACCTGCGGACTTCTTTTCTGCCCCTCTCAGACCCAGTGTTTGGTTTCAGCGTGGGCGTGGTCCAAAAATGACATCATCCTCCACACCTTGCCGCTCCACCACCTGCACGGCATCGTTAACAAGCTGTTGTGCCCGCTCTGGGTGGGCGCCACCTGCGTCATGCTTCCCGACTTCCAGGCTCAGAAGGTAAGAAACATTTTTGTTTTTTATCTACATTTATTTTCAGCACGCTTTTATATAAATGCACCTTCACTGAAGWGACTCTTTGGAAGCTGACAACAAGGATAAAAAACATCTCAGGTTTCTAGATGGTAAGATAAAGTCATGCTGGGTTGAAAGAGATCCTTACTCGTTTTCACATCAATCAGTCTTTTTCTGTTACTCTTGGCTTTCTCCCCCTTCCTCTTTTCTCACTTCTCCTTGCTTCATCTCCTCTCTCCCCTCTCAGCCCCCCCACCTCCCCTCCTTCCCTGCTCCTGACTGTCAAACTAAGTGTTTGGGGCTTAGTGATGAATTGCCCTGTGTGGCTTTGTATGTGACCAATGCCGACTCACGGCAGGAGCTTAAGCAGCAGATCAATCGATGAGATGACATTGAAGGATGATAGTGCTTGTTTGGCCCTGAGAAGGGGGGGTTGAGATGGGGCTTTAAAGTGTGTGTGTGTGTGTGTGTGTGTGTGTG